ATATATATATATATTTATATTTATGTCTGACCCTAAACTAATCGTATTTGAATGTGTATCGGAAGGTGCATCCCTGGGTTTGGTGCACAAATTGCATTAGAATCTGTATCGAAAGTGTATCCCTAGTTTGGGCGTGCGTCCAAATCGTATCGTTATATCGTATCTGAACCCGTTTCCATAACAGAATACTATTTTGCTGTTTTAGATTCCAGTGGCTGGTCTCGCACTTCATAACGCTTCGCGCATCTTCGATAATGCAAAACCCTCGCTTGAGTCGATGAACAACACCCTGTTGCAAGTCTTCTTCATCTTGTACATCATCGAGAATTTTGACTCTTTTTACAATAGTGTTAACAAACCTTTGAAAACGTTTAAAAACTTTCAAGGTCTGCAAAAAACTTTCCTAACATTTCCAAAAACTCTTAACAGCTGTTAGAAATTACTTTTAGGAACGTTTTAAACGTTTTGCTCAAAAACACATATCAAAACTTTACTTGCTTGTATTTATGTTTATTTGTCTGGATTTGTCTTTATTTGTCAGGATTTGTCTATTACTGTGTTTACTGTCATTTTTTGACGTTTATTGTCACATTTGGCTTTATTTGTCATTTTTTGCCTTGATTGTCGCAAAAGCCCTGGGCATCCACTCCCTGTGGTTCCGGACCCTCGCAAACGCGCAAGGATTCAAAAGCAAGGGAAGCTTCGGCTTCATTCTTTTCGGTTTTGGGGTTCGGTTTTCGGGTGTTGGGAGTTCGGGTGGCCCGTAACCCGGGAACCGAATGGAGGAGTCCTCAAATGGCTGAAGAAACATGGAGCCGCCCGCATGCAGACACGTTAGCAACTTCCAGGTCGCGGAGACCATGTCTGCAGCAGGCGAAGCCTTCGCAGATGCTGAGGTGCGAGCGCGGGGAATCTTTAAATTTTAGTATTTGAGCTGCTGAGGCACGGCTAGAGCGCTGAGCTTTAATCCCTATACCACAGTCCCTAAACCCTAAACCTTAATCCTCAAGCCTTAAGCCCTTAATCCCCAAACCCTGGGCTACAGGGGTGGCCTAACTTCTCTTGGAGGGATTTTAGACTCTCTGCAGTTTGGAAAAAATCGCTGACCCCCTAACTCTATACCCTAAGTCCTAAACCCTGCCTTCAGGGATCGGATTCGGGTGAAAGGCAGGCGTAGAGGAATGCAATTCCCATACTGGCTTGAGACCACAACGCAGAGATTCTACCGTGAACATTGGATACGTAACCCTGGTAGAGGTATTCTGGGCCCCCACGTAGTTTACGCTGATATTAATAAAAAAGCATAAAGCGAGACCAGAAAATCTCCGAGACGGCGCCAAAGCGCGCTCAGACATAGCGCAGGGCTTCCCCAAAAAAAGTCCTAAACCCTAAACCCTCCAGGAAGCCAAGGAGCTGGCTGCTGACAAGCGAGATAAGGCGACAGCAATGGAGGAGAGCGCCACGGACCAGGCAGGGAGTCGCCAAGGGACGACTTCACTGTAATACTGTGTAGTATTTTGTAATAAATATATACTAGATATATATATATATATACACATAAATATCATCCTGTTCAATCCTGTTCGATTATACACTATATTATACATCGTTGTGCTCATGAGGCAGCGAAGTTGGACAAGCTCCAAGATGAGGCCGGCATGGATGTAGGAGGCCACCACCGTGCTGTTTCTGCTCCAGGTGGAAGCCAAGAAAAGAGAACTTGCGGCCCTCACCCAGGAGGCCTCGTTGCGTTTACTCCATGGAGCGGTGGGGTTTGCAGGGAGTTCAGTCTCCGTTGCAGCTAAAAGCCAGTGGTCTTTTGCCCCCCTGTCTTGAACAAGCTCTGGGTGACTTCGGGTGCGGCGTCAGCGCGTATCGCATGTCGGCCTAGTCAAACTGCAAGGATACTTTGAGCACCTCCTTGGAACCCGCGGCAGTGGGACAGCCTACCGCCTGCGACAGTCAAGCTTTGGATGTCTTACTGCAACACGCCGACGGTCATCACCCTCAAGCTACAACCGAGTTCGAAACAACTTCCTGGTAAAACAGCCTTGCTGACGAAAGCGGAGAGTACTTCCTGCACACTCTGCAGCCAACTTGCTCCAGGATCCAAGGCTCCTCCACTTCTTTTGCACAGCCCTAACTTTTATTCCCGACATCCAAAACCTCTAAGCTCGAAGCCCCTAAACCCTAAAACTCTTTTCATCTTTTTGCCTTTGTTCATCTGTGGCCCCCTTCTTGAGCGTGAAGGTCGAAGAGGCCAAGGACGAGGTCCACCGCCTCAAGCAGGACGCCGAGGCCACAGTATTGGTTTCATCGTACGTAGCCTAATAGAGAGTAGGGTTTAGGGTTTCGGGTGTAGTGTCCATCGTGTGCCATCGCAGGCTGCGGCCCAGGAAGCTGCAGACGCCGAGGCTCTCCAAGCTCCACAAAATTTGGGCCGACTTTGAAGCTGGCGATACTTCACTTCCTTGCGCGGTGCAGTGATGTGGTGAGTTCAGTCCCGAGTGACAAGGCTGCAGCAACAGAAAAGGAAGAGCTTGCAGCAGCTGCCAAAGCAAAGGTGCGCTGCTGTGAGCTACACTCGCACGCGGGAATCTGCATGAGAAGTTGTCCATGCTGCTATCAGTGTATAGCCAGGGCGAGGAAAATGCAGCGGCACTTGCCGAGTTCGACAAGAAGTACGGCTGCGACCCCAGTCCGAAACATGTCATGCTCAGCATTTGCCATGGAATCTTGCACAGCCTCTTCCCAGTGCATCCTCGCATCGCAGGTGTCGTGCAGTGTAGTCCGCCCTTCAGGTATGGGGCCGGAAGAGGCCCCAGTGAACGAGACTCATGAAGCCGAGAAGGCTGCAGAAGCTCCGGCAAAAGAGGGCGAGAATGCGGAGGAAGGCGCCATGTGCAGAAGCTGCTGCGGTAACTGTCACAGCAACTTGGTCTTCTTTGTCGCATGGAGCCCCTAAGTGCAGGCTCAGAAGATTCCTACGATGAGAGCGAGGAGGAAGAGGAAGAAGTCGACGAGAGCCAGGAGCTTGGCATGGAGACACCGGCCATACTCTCCAGAGGCCCTCTAAGTTTCAAGCCCTAAACACTAAACCCCTAGAGCCCTGAACTTCCCTAAACCCTCCTAAACCCTCCTAAACCCTCCTAAACCCTCCTAAACCCTAAACCCCCAAAGCCCTACACCCCTCAGCCCACAACCACTCGCAGCTCAGGTGCCTCCGAGAGCGAAGGCAAAGCGAAGCCTCGAGCCGGAGCGGCGAATGCCGCGCCGCGGCGCGCGTGGCCCGCCGCCCCCGAGCGCCCCCCGGAGCGTCTGGGGCCCAGAGACGCTAAAATCCGCTAAAATAATACTGTAAAGTAATGACCTATACATCTTTTGAGGGTTCCTTGTGCTTTTTTGATTATAGTAAAATATACCCGAAAACCCTATTCTCATTGTTCGTACTGTAGAACTTGTCATGTTTTGTTGTAATATATACAGTGTATGTCAAAATAGGTACTTGGGCATGAGGGCGGGCTTTGCCGGGGGTTTTGAATCATACATGGTCATAGAAAGACCTCCTAGAATTTCAAGTGGGTGTTGTCTTCAAGCCAGGGGTTAAGAATTGAGTGGGCTTCGTCGTTGGGAGATAGTGCCCAGCAGGGACTCGTAAGTGGATGTCCGCCGAGGAGATCGGGGAAATCACGCTTACAGAGAGCGAGAAGCAGAGGGAAGGCCGGGACGGGGAGAAGGACGGGACCCCAGAGATGCTCGCGACGGGCGAGGACGGGAAGGACGGGACCGAGAGAGGGATCACCGAGACATGCGTGATGCCAGAGATGGGCGAGAAGCCCGAGACACCAGAGACGGTCGCGACCGCGGCGACCGCGACGGCCGCGACGGCCGCGATGGCCGCGACGGCCGCGATGGCCGCGATGGGCGTGATGACCGAAATGGCCGCGATGGCCGTGATGGTCGTGACGGCCGAGACGGTCGGGACCCTCGGGACGGCAGGGAGCGAGAGGCACGAGACGGGCGAGATGGCCGTGATGGGTGGCGAGAAGTGCGGGGGCCGCGCGAGCGCCGGAGATGACCCATGGCCCGCCCTGTTGCTGGCTTGTGCTTGCGCGGCTGCGAGGTGGCCACGTGTACAAAGGAAGCATCTTGTCCAGCTTCGGAGAAAGCTCAATCTGATGAGCCTTGGCCTCGACGAAAGGGCACAGCTTCAAGATTATGCGGTAGCAGCCAGATGACCCGTTTCAACAGCCAGCACAGAAAAACGTGCTCCCTGTGTGTCAGGAGGGCAGCTGACAGAACGTCCTTGATTGTTGGACAGGGGGCAAGAACCATCAGATACTTGGTGAGGAGTTTGGAGGGCTGCAGAGAGCTGGATCTGCTTTATCCTGCTCTTTCAAGCCAGTTCGTGGACATCTGAAAACCCTCTCTTGGCATTCCGTCGTGTAGCGTGAATGGTATGTCTCACAAGAAGTCTGAGAAGTCTCGGAAGACCCTAAACCCTAACCTGAACTCTAAAACCCTGAAGCCCTAAACCCTAAGCCCTAAAGCCCGGAAGCTCAGTGTGTAGACCCCCGTCCCTCCGCCTGGATGACGGCTCATGGCGGCCTGGTCTGCTTCCCAGAGACATGGTTTCAGGGTTGAGGGTTTCGGGGTCGAGGGTTTTGAGGTTTGGGGTTTGAGGCATGGGGTTAGAGTCTAGGATGCAGCTCGCACGCATGCCTTCTTTTTCTCTCTGGTTTATGTAGGGTATACGAGCAATGCCGAGCGGACGAAGGTTCCCAGTACCTGTTCGCCTACATGAGTTAAGACATAACAAACAATGAACCAGCCGATGGTAGGTACACGAGTAGCTGACATGGTTGCGTGCATGAGTTGTGTGTGGGTGTACTCATACAGATGTATGTTCAGATCAGGCAAGGGTCTATAGAACAACATAGCACAACACAACATAACATAACATAGCTTAACATAACATAACATAGCACGCTTTAGCAAATCATAAAATACCATGGGGTGGCACGCAGCGTAGTACAGCATAGCACGACATAAACGTATCATGACGCAACAGGACGTAACATGACACTGCATGGCACAAACCAGCATGGCAGAATATAGCGTACGTATATTAATATGTACATTGTGTCTGGCCGTGTCCATGCCCATGTCCATGTTCATGTCCATATCTATGCCTATGCCTATTCTATTCGACTTTTTTAAATATTCATCTCATCTCATCTCATCTCATTTCATCTCATCTCGTTTCATCTCATCTCATCTCATGTCGTCATCTTATCTTATTTTGTCCTATCACATCCTATCCTACTCTATCACATCCTATCCCATTCCATCTATCTGTCTCTTTGTCTGTCCAACTACCCTACTCTATCTTGTCCTACGCTTCCCTACCATATCGTATCTATGTACCTATCTATTTATCTATCGATGGAGTGATCTATCGATCTATCGGTCCATCTATCTACCTTTCTACTCACCTATCTATCTATCTATTTATCTATTTAACTGAGAATATCAGATCACTTCAGGTCAGATCATACCTCACTATACTCTACAGTCAGACGCTAGAAAGAGGGAGGGCTTCTGTGAGTGCATCTGAGGCGCTTCTGCCTCCTGGCTTTGCATGTGGCGGCAGCTGCCTGGAGGGACGGCGCGACCAGCAACGAGAACACGTTGCTGTCTGACATGCTCTAGATTCCGTGTGTCGGGGTGCTAATTTGTATAACCAGATGCATATACACACACGCACACACACACACATACACACGCACACGGAAAGTTAAGCTTGGTTTGAATTATTCGAAGATCAGACCTGATGACCAAGGCATAGTGCCCACTCATCAGGAACCTACTCATCAGGAACTTTTGACATGTCACCTCATGTGCCGAAAAGCCCATAGGGAGGAGCATGAAGTGTGTCACCTTGTACCCCAACTTGCCTTCTAAACCAGCAGAATGAACGGCACTGTGACTCAAGCACTGAATGGTAGTTATAAACGCAAGCGCTGACAAGAAATGGCTGCGGCAACTTCTACACGATGCCAAGCAATGAGAACGCGTATGAATACAAATATGGGTGCAAGCGTCCCACCTGCCATGCCTGGCCCGGGGCACCTTGCTGACCCAGTCCAGCTGCCCAGGAGCGGGGTCCCCGTAGCAGCTACACTGAAATGGTCAGTTTCAGCTTCCCGCATACTCAGTTAGCTTCGTTGGATGAGATCACTGAGTATGAGTCTCATCCCCCTGCTGACAAGCAAACAGCAGATGTTCTGCTGAAATGACGACAAACTGTGAAAAGACCGTCAAGTGAAGACTCTTCGAAACAGGGTTTGTGTGCACACACACAGAGATTTTTCTATATACTTATGCACATACATATATATATATAATATGTACATGCGTGTATATATATATACAAACACATAGATGCAGACACTTGTCTGTATAGACATGCGTACACATGCGACACACGTTCGTCTCTGCATCTGTATCTTCAGCTTGGCAGGTCTGTGCTCCGCCATTAAAGGAAACACCTGTGCCGGTGGCCTCAGCTCATTGAGGGGATGGGAGCGTCGAGGTTTACAGTGGTAGGATTCTGATGTTTAAACTTCCTAATGCAAGGACAAGGGTTATAAAGCCAGGACTGTGCTCGAGAGTACGGATCATCAAGCAGTGGGGTCAGGCAGCAAAGAGCGGGTGGTGACTGTAGGGTTGAGGGTTGAGGGTTCTGTTCACTTGATGCCCAGGTTGTGACTGGGAATCGCAGCATTGCGCGGGAGCAGAAAGTGCGATGGTCTGGCGCCTTGGTGGCAGAAGCATGAGCTCCTTAAAGCGGCCCGTGAAGACAGTGTTGCAGGGATGGTGTACAAACACATACACACGCAGCCATTAACATAGGTAGCGGGAGCGAGAGCCCTCGCTTGGAACTTGCGGCGCCAGGCAACGTGGAATTTCGTGGGGCCTGGTGGCTTTGCTCTTCCCGCATCGGCAACTACGACAGTGTGCGCATTGACATCGCCATCCCAGGGACCCTGAGCCTGTTGGAAGGACGGCCTCCTCTTCCGTTGTCTGTCGCCATGGCAAACAAATGACATGTCCTTGATAGCAGGTAGTGATTCGCCTTACAATTGACACGCCATGTCCTGCAGTAGTAATGACAATCGAAATCGCAGAGCAGCAGCAGCAGCAGCAGTTGCTGCAACAGCACCACCACAATGACGAGAACGGTACCCGTGGTGATAATGACCGCAGACACTAGGCCCTAAACACTGAATCCTAAGCCTTAAAACTTTCAAACCCTGACACCCTAAAACCATAAACCTTAAACCCTAAACTCCTAAAGCCCTAAGCTCCTAGAGCCCTAAACCCCTTAAGAGTGATCAGGAAGAGCCTTGACCCGTCTCTGAAAGGATCTCTCCTGCACTGTGGGACGGTAGCGATCCAAGCGCGCACAGCCCCGGCCTTGGCGAGTTGGCGGCTATTTTTCAAGCTTAGCGGGTTTAAGTTTAAGGGTTTAGGGTTTAGGGTTTTAAGGGGCTTAGGGTTCCATTTCAAAGAGATACCGAAGCCAAGAGCACCCGAGCTAAAGACGATAGAGAGCAAGCCCCGAGTCCTAAGTTAGGAGCTTTGAGGAGAGAGCTTTTCGAGTTTCTTGGCGCTGCCAGGATCAGGTTCGGCAGCCTTTTTTTTGGAAGAGGTGCAAGCATGCAGCAGATGCTGGAACTGAACGGGCTGTTTTATTTTTTATTTTTTCTGTTGGTTGTGATGTTAGGCTTGCCTCTTTGATATCAGAGAGAGTACCTTAATTGCCAAGGTCATTATTTCGGACACTTCCGAAATCAGTCGCGGCCTTGAGGAAACTCATGTGTGCTTCAAAACAGGCCAGGGTAGGTACGCTGTCCGAAGTACGTGCCAAAGGTGTACACTTCCTGCGTGCAGAGCATTCACTTTGTTCTGTGACGCCGACTTTGCCAGCCTGCCCTGAAAGAATGAGGTACTAATGGCACGTCTCACAACCCCGAGCCCACGAACGTAGCCAGCTTGGCACTCAGAACCAGAGTGGAGTTGCTACTTGGTTGGCCAGTGCTCCAGTGCAATACATCCTGGTCCCTGGCAGAAAGCCGAGACCCTAAGGCGTCGTAAAAAAGCAACCATCGGGAACTTCTCAGATAGCATATTCAATGATGAGCACGGGCATCGATGGATCAACACTCTGAGCTAGCTGCACGAAGCCTTGTTTAGCGAAGAATCAATAGTTCCAACGATGCTGATGATGACTCTGGCTGATCACTGAAGGACAGAAGCATTAATAATGGTGATGCTTCTAGAGTGGACGCCGGCAGAGGGGCGATGCCAACTTCCGGCGGTTCGAGTTTTGGCTTGGGAACTGTGGGTTCAGGGTTTAGGGGTCCAGGGTCAGAGATCTGTATTCAGGGTTGTGGAGCCGATCTTCTGGCGTGTTAGGTTGTCGGCTCTGAGATCCAGGCTCCGCTGAACCCCGCTTATCGCCACCATTGCTATTGCTTCTCTATCACGACCGCAGGAAATACCTACAGTGACCTTATAGGAACCCTGGGTACAGCTTACAGTACCCCTCATAGTGCTTTTTGGTTCCTCTTATGGTACCCTTCTACAGGAACCCTTGTAGTACCCCTCATTGTACCCCTTATAGTACCTCATAGTACCCTTTGTTAATAACCATTGTCCCTCATAGTACACTATGGTGCCCCTTCTGGCACCGTTTATCAGCTGTATAGCATCTTTTAAACGACCCCGAATCGTGCTGGCATATTTCCGAGTCCCGAAATCCTAAACGACCCTAAACCCTAAACCCGGGTACCGAACGCTTTGTGGTCGCGGAGGTGACGTCGCTTCGAAGCTCTGGTCCTCGGCCCAGCGAGGTGCCTCACATGGTGGTCTCGGAGGCCGGGCTTCGATTGTTTTCTTTTAGGGTTTAGGGTTTAGGGTTTTGGGTTTAGGGTTTAGGGTTTGGGGGTCATCGTCGTCCTCGTCGTCGTCGCCGTCTACACTGTCTCAGCGAGCGGAACAACCCAGCCAACA